ACATACACACGATCTTTAATGAAACCCCATAAGAAAAAATCGAGAGGTGTCAAATCTGGAGAACGAGGTGGCCATGCTATCGACCCTGTTCGACCAATCCACCGACCTGGGAAACGGTTATTGAGGAAATCCCGGACTTCTGTGAGGTAGTGAGGTGGTGTGCCGTCTTGCTGGAAGTGAATGCGTCCTTTTTGGTCATCTTCGTCTAACTGTGGTATGAGAAAATTTTCGAGCATATCTAGATACACGATACCGTTGATGGTTCTCTCATGGAAAAAGAACGGGCCGTACACTTTAACTTTGCTAAGGGCACAAAACACATTCACCTTTGGGCTGTCACGAACGTGTTCCACAATAGCACTAGAAACACGCGGGCGACCTGGAGATTTGTCACGGCGAAGAGAACAACCAGTCTCAACAAAATTCTTGTGCCAAAAGTAAATTGTAGGTCTACTGGGAGGATCCTTGCCATACTGGGTGCGAAAATTTCGTTGAACCATTGTCGCAGATTTCGTTTCTTCAAACCACAGCACACAGCGAGCGCACTCCGCACCTGTGAAAGTAGCCATTTTCAAATGCACTGCCGCTTGCGCTCGCGGTGACGGAATTCGGTACTACAGCACAACGTGAGTCAAACTTGATTTGTTTTGCTACAAAATGACACCTCAACCGATTTTGTAAGCTTTCTGATTAAATTTCTATACACTTTCAAAGTTGTAAAGTCCTTTTTGAATCACCTGGTATTATAAAATGTTCAGTGAGTGTGCATAGTGCATTATCGAAAAATATTTAATAGGTTTACTGTGGAGGCTTTTCTGCCTGCATGCGTGGTTAAGACCGCTGAGAGTTTTGCCAAGGACAGTAGTTCACAAATCCGGAGTGTTCCATATCAGTGTCATGAATGAATAAGTCAGCAAAGCAGGTGCTTACTTAACTGACGGGCGAACTAACGGATTCATGTGGCATTTCCGTGAGATATAGGCCCGGAGCTGCGTGACTTACTCCACGAGGGGGCACGAATGAAGTAGGAAGCAGCCGCAAAGCTTGGGGGTAAAATGAACTAAGTCCCTCTTAAATTGTTGGCATTTAAATCATAATCATATCGCACAGCTATTTCCTCCACCCATTGGTCGCGTTGGTTTTGCCGAAATGCGTGATACTTCTATTCTGAGGTTTTCCTGTTTACTTAGCTCTACTGAATTGTCGGTATTGAATTTCGTCATGGGGTCCGCAATGGCCGCGCGGTCGCAGGGACCGTGGGTTCGAATCCCACTCAAGCCATGGATGTTTTTCTGTGTTGTGCTGTCCTGTGTACAGGTAGAGGCCTTGCGACGGGCCGATCCCTCGTCCAAGGAGTCCTACCGAATGTCCATAGATCAAGCCAACTGAAACGTTGGGGACCCGTAAAGGGTTGTTGAATTGTTTTCTTCAAATATTAAAAGTTGTTTACGACATACCATTTAAGATTTCATAAGCATGTGCTTTTTTCTATCGCATGTGGTAACTGTTGAGTAAATGTGCTCTTGAAATATGAGAATCGCAACTAGAAATCCGGTGCCTCGAGGTTCGTTGATACACAGCAGTGGTTACCAAAATGTGGTCGCCAGAGCTCAAGCGAAGTTTTGGCGAAGTCTTTCTCAGGGTTGACAGATCTGAGGTTCTCACGGTGGTGAAAATTTTGATCGTGATTTCAGGGTTATGACGCCGTTCAGTCTTGTGGGTAGTTACCAACGTTCCCGAGGAGTGCATTTTCTCCCAATCCAGAAGATGATATTCGACGTTTCAGAGACCACCAGAAAATGTAGTTGAGGGTTTTATACGCTAATATTCTATTATTTAAAAGAAATTTACAAGCAAATCACAGCGATGAGTTCCTTTACTTTCTGTAGAGAGGTAATTTGTGAAGTGACGATTAAAGACACAGCAGCGTAGGGTTGGAGAATCACCCCAGGTAGAAATTCGTAGAATAAATTATAATTTAGCGGAGTATTAATTTCTCAGGGAAGGCGTTGCTGAAGTGGTGAAGATTAAGAACCACTGTCATATGAATTTGATCAGCTCTGTGCAAAAATAATTTATTTACTTTATTTTTCACCGAACAAGTCCAGGTAACGCTGTGGAATAGTGGGTATATTGGGGATGTATCTGGATTGAATCTCCGTATCTCTCTTATTTTCAGTATGACTGCAAAGAAAAGAAGAATAGTGGATGAAAATAGAAAGTATAGCGATGAATGGGAAGAAAAGTACTTCTTCATAGTTCAAAATACAAAATTATTATGTTTAATTTGCCGAGAGGTCGTTGCTGTATTTAAGGAATATAATGTTAAGAGGCATTACGAAACAAAACATAAGGATTATTTGAAGTTCGATAAAGAAGTGAAACAATCGAAGCTCAAGGAGTTTAAGTCGCAATTAAAGGCTCAACAAAAAATGTTTGGTGCAGCATTACAGCAACCTTCCAATATTGTTAAGGCAAGCTATTCTGTTTCATTTGTGATTGTAAAAAAAATGAAAACATTTTCGGATGGTAAATTTGTGACAGAATGTTTGGAAGCTGTTGTGAAGGATATTTTACCTGATAAAAGTAAACTGTTTTCGAACCTAAGCCTATCTCGGCAAACAGTGTGTTGTCTATGTTTACATGTAAGAATAATAGTAAACACAATAATAATAACTCATTATGTTTCAATTTTTCACTCCAAAAAAATGTCTATAGTGTATCTAAATCTAATATGGGGATATATAATTTTATATGTGGCCCGCGGAGTTATGATGCATTTCCAAAGTGGCCCGAAAGATCATATGGGTTGGCCACCCCTGGTCTAGAGGTTATTCTTGAGCTTCCTGAGCCCGTTCGCCTGTTTTTGAATAATTGAAATAGGTAAGTACCGCCTTCTTTCAAATCCTTACCATTCATGGCATTCTTTATACCCCATTCACCCAGTATAATCTGTACAGTTGAAGGACCGTTGTTAAGTAAACTGAGAATTAGATATAAAGTAAGTGAATAGTTCCTACACTCATGAAACTTGTTTGTGTAAGGTTTGAGGATCATCCCGCAACTGCTTAAGATAGGTAGAACACTCACGAGGTTAAAATAATAGAGACAACAGAGCGAATGGCCTTCAGTGCTTGACATTTGATCCTCCATAACCTCATTGCAGTCTCTTCAGTGGGGTAGCAACAAATGCACTTTAATACAGACTTGAAGTAGGCAGTGTGATATATCAGCTCTTTAGATCCATTTTACACCTAAGCCTTTAATGGATACGTGCATGAAGCCACGTGCCTTTGGTAGTAGGAGTTCCCGCATAGACGTGAAGGAAACAATAAAACCCTACAGACAGTCAGTTCATTAAAATAATTGTCCTGCAGTTTCAATGTAACGGGAACTTGGACAGAGATTCTCTACGTACGAGTGTTGCTTGGAATTAGAGATGAATTTTAAATGACCGTGGGACTGGTAATATCTATGTGAGATTTATTTAAGATATTTAATTACGTATTGTGTGGATTAAGAATTATCAGACGGTTGATGTATTTTGTGAGGCGCATACTTTTTTATAATTTGCTTTACTTACTTAATATTTATCCTCTTTTACCCGTAGGTGTCGAGATTTTTATTTATTTATTTGATCTATTTGGACATTCGGTAGGACTCCTTTGGATGAGTGATCAGCCCATGGCAAGGCCTCTACCTGTACAAACACAGCAAGACGCGGACAAACATCCATGCCTTGAGTGGGACTCGAACACACGGTCCCAGCGACTTTTTTATAATACTGCCCCAAAAAATGTTGAAGGGAATTATTGAGCAATATTTGTTTTGTGCTTGTTTATGATAGTTTGTTTTAACGAATTGTTATGAACTGTTACTAATTGTTGGCGACCCGCGACATGGCAGAATCAGTGTGGCCCTAGGTCTTCAGAGGCTGAGAATCTGTGGTATGGGTGGATATACGTATGTTGCACACAAAAGGCGTGTGTGTGTATGTATGTGAGGAGCGCCTGGTAAGGATCTCTGAGCGGTCCTGAGCTTGGAGCGCACTTTTGTTCGCTTGGACGACCCTGCCTCTGAAACATAAGAACCTGTTCCTGAGAGTGACGTCACTTGTCGAAGTTCTGACAGCCACAACATGTTACATGTTAACGTGAACTGGTTGGTCCGTTACGTTTTATTATCTGACGGTCAAAAGCAGTCATTTTTTCAGCTTTGAGTAATTAGGTCTTTGGTCTGTTACCAAACCGAATTGATTATGAAATTCTGATTCCTGTGTTGAGATATTTTGTAAGATTTCGTGGACGGGAAATTGACCCATCTGAAGGTGTTTACGCAGGATAAAACAGCAGAAAAATACAGACATAATCCGGGCTTCTGTTGAATTTTAATCCGAGATCCCCCTGTTAAAGCGGGATGTGTGACTAACCTGTAAGCCTTTCGTAATGACTTGTCCCTGTGGTCGTCTCCGGTTGTTTATTCAAATGAATGTCGCTAACCCATTGGCGTACCTAGGCAGCTGCTGGACTCGGCTGGTTCGCGTGGCGTTAGAGTAGAGCAGCCGTCACCAAATTGGTCACAGCAAAATCGTGCAACATAGGCGTTTGTGGTGGACTGAACTTAAGAAAACAAATGTAGGTGATTTATATGACAATGGTTGGTTAGTTAAGAAGAATATTGTGTTGCATATACCTCCCTGAACGTGTGGACATCAAATATACGCTTAGAGCAGTGGTATTCAACCTGGGGTACGCGAAGACATCTTAGGGGGTAAAATTTAAAAAAAATATATTATTTTATGATAAACACTGAATAATCAGTAATGTAATTTATTTAATTTATTTTAGATGTAGATTATATACTACGTATAACTTGAATTATACACCAACAACTTTGAGGGTACAAAGTTGAAGATAAATTATATCTGGAGGTACGCGAACAAAAAAGGTTGAATACCACTACCTTAGACAGTGGACAGTGTTCAGCGATATATTCGTTCAAGGTCATGCACACAATGATGGCGGAAAACTCACGGAAAACAATCATTATAAAGACCGCGAGAGGATCTTAGAATGACTGTTGTGGAAATGAGTTATGCCGATGAGAACTAGATTTTTTACTCGTTACTATATGAGTTTTGCATTTTCTGAAGATGTATAACTGTACATTTTGTACGTTCGTGTCGATCCACTGCACAAGTTTGTTCGTCCGCCATATTGGTATTACTGATTGTTGGAAATTTGTATCTACGATTTTATGGTGGTACCGAATGGCGATACAAAAATTTTATCCCAATCCGTCCAGTTGAATCATGCGGATTGGCAGAGAGACTCACAGCCCTTTTTATGTTTATTTAAGGCACTTGGTGCTAATTACGCACAATAACATTCAATATTAAGTAGCCTTGTTCCATTGATAGGACCGATTTACTGTTTACGTCAATCAGCGAGAAGTTAGAGAAATTTTGCATATTGAGGATGAAGATTGTGGTATTTTGGTGGTTTGTGACGCCGTGTCAACTTCTGTATCTAGATAGTTACCATCGTTTTGGAGGAACGTAATTAGCAACCTAAAAGACCACTGGGTATTAACCCAGAAGACCACATTTCTTCACTGCCATGAAAAACTCATCAGATATGTAATTAGAAAGAGTAATTTTTGCTCTTTACCTGAGATTGTTTCGCTAATTAAGTCGGTGATAAGTTGGGCGTTACAGGATTGTGGTTGGAATACCATAAAGGCAAAGCCCACTTGTGAGACCTTCGCTTGAATGGGAGGATAAGAATGTACTCGATCGTAGATAAACTTGGTGTGAAGTTCTGAAGTCGATCGAACTGTTTCAGGATAGTGTCCAATGAGTTTTTGTGTATACTGTAAAAAACCTTCATGTTCTTTAAAAGCAGGGAATTTCTTGACCAACTGAGGGGACGCCAGCTTTTTAAAGTGTTCCCTGTGCTATTGAGCTAAACATCGTTGCTTTATTTAACACGTATTTCCTTTTGTTTCAGGTGAGTCCCGGTGCTTGCGAAAGTTTTCCTGGCGAACCAAATCTTTGATTACATCGGTAAATAGGAATTACCAAAGAATGAATCTTGATAACCACGAAAGCTGGCCTAAGTGACAGCAGTTCATTGGGCAGTGATTGATTAAGGTAGTTTACAACACGCGTGTTCTGATAGGTTGTAGTCGGAGAACTTGTTATATGCCTACATCAGTATACATGACTTTCTGATATTCTCTTGTTAAAAGTTTTGTGGTTTTTTATTCCTAAGTCCTGATTTGTAAACACATTTTTAAAAAGGATTACACATATTTAAATGTTATGGTGTGTAACTTTTAAACATCTGATTTTTAGGAAACGTCTACTTAAAAAACGTATTATTAACTGCTGTATTAATTTATGTATTATTTAAATGTTAATTACACGTTGTGTTATGTACTGTGTCTTGGAAGACTCCGAGATTTCTGTGATTCATAATGGTACTGTTATGTGGTTCGTCTTCCTTCGAGTTTTGGGTCGCTTTATAGACATGTCAAAGGCATTCGGGTTGGGCCTGTAAGTTTTGACAAAAAATTACACTGTACTTATCATATTTGCTATAGTTATTTCTTTGTCTTTGCTTTCCAACGCATTTGGCCGAAAACGTTTCCTGATTTCATCTGGATAAAATATTCTCGATTGGACCGTAAGCCATTCTGTCGTTTTCCTATGCTGAAGCTCATTTCAGATGTAGTTTTATTAGTGCTGACTTTTCGGTTGACAGAGATGCTCTGATTGATATTTTTCTTAACCTCAGCACTATACAATTGATAGTTGCGCAGAACACACGTAATTAACATAACTCATCCATAAATCTTTCCACCTATTCTAAACTTTTCTGTGTCTTGGAAGTTATCGCTATAATGAACTGTTATTTCCCATCGTTTGACTACCTTTTTACACGCTGATCACCTGAATTGAATCCCAGTTCGTTGTTTGGAACTTGTGATGCGGTGGTAGTAATGATACAGTTAGTTGTGCAGCGAAGCGTATGACAAATGGGTCACATCCGTTTATTCAACCGCTAGCCTGTTTTGATAATTTGGTAGGACATTATGCAGTGTTTTTTGAAAACTAAAATAATTAAACTCCCAAATGATTATTATTTTTTGGTTCTGTTCTGTTGTTATATCTAATTGACATTTAGATTCGTGATCTGTCTTGTTTTTCTGGCAAATTATTCTGTCAATCTATTTGGTCAGAAGTCAGACTTGTCAAAAGTTTGTTGTAAACTGATTACATCAGCCCTAGTCTCCCATGAAGAAGTGACCTTTAGCTCCGTGTAAGTTCACATTACTGACTGCTTGTATTCCCATTGATAAAAACTAGTTTATCTAACAGGTCTTGCAGAGTAAGTTTCTTTTTTGAAGGCTGAAACAGCGCCAGTTTCCCAAACTTTAAATTTTAGATTTTTAATTTTTAAATCACCTTAAATCGGCATTGTCTTAAGAATGTATCATGACAATGCTGGGTCACCATTATCTAATCATGCAGACAACAGAACAGATTTGATGATTCGCTTTTTAAGTTTCATGTACGCGTTTTTCTACTTGCAGTGTAAAGAAATATTAACGTAAGTATGTCGAGGCCCTGTGTAACATTTCGTAACATACTATTGTTGTGTTGGCCCCTCTGCTTAATCCTGAAGCTAGAATACCACCTGTGTCGACTGTCGGTAACTGCTTTTATGCGTTATTTACGCATTATATGCTGGTTTTGTCTCTCCGCCCGTCTCTATAGTCAATTCAACTCGAGACCGCTGGGCGGATTTGGATGAAATTTGGTGTGGAGGTTGTGTCATTCTGCACGACCTCAGAATCGTACTTTTAAATATGCTACAAGCGGTGATAACAAAATGACGGACAAGGAAATTCATGAGGTACGCGCTGAGGCGCTGTGATCTGGTGGCCAAAGTGGGACCTATCGAGCAAGGCGGATTTAATACATGCAAAGCAGTACAAGGAATTTTAATATTCGGTTATTCAGATGGGTTGGAAGAAGATAAAAGGGTTCGGTAATGAATAAAAAGTCACGAATTGAAGATGCTTTTGATTTTGTCGTGTGCATTATTTTGATTGGTATTTTCGCCCCAGTGTTTTGGTCACTCCTTGACTGTATGAGCAAGGAATTATATTGCTGGACCACAAATACCGGTTTTAGTTTACTGGACAGAACCTCGTAGGTTTTTGTTTTAGGGCGTTTGATTAGAAGACGCGATGGATGCAGGTGGTCCTGCAGATTTATGTAGATTGGATGTCGTAACAGTTTCTTTCACAAGAAGGAACCATGGAATAAACATAATAGCAACTTTAAAATGTTAGCATTAAGAACTGGTTTTACATAACAGGGAGCCCCATTTATATTTTTTGTCTCTTCTGTTGTAAATGAATATTTATAAAACCTGCTAGGTTTATTTTTAGGTCAGTGGAATTGGTGCTGATTCATTTGTGTATATCTCCTTCTACTTGCTTGCCAGAAGGACTATTCTTGTTTAACTGATGTCGTTCTCTACTGAAGCGATTGGTCATTGGCCTCACTCCAAGAGCAAGACTTCTTTGCAGTTAAAAGATGGAAAATTCTTTATAATGGTCTTCTACCCCTTTTCTCCCGAGATTCTTGATCCACAATCTGTTTATGCGATGATAGGACTTCGGACTAAAAAAAATATTGGAGAAATTCTTAACCAAATGAGGAAGTATCAGCTGATCAAAGGACTCATACCATTGATTGAGCAGTGTTATAAGGTCGCTCACAATTAGTGCTGTGTTCCAAAACCTTCCAGGTTCTTACACCAGCGGTGGTATGCCGCGAAACTTTCCATATCGAGTTATAATGATTTATGAGTTGCCATGTTGGGTTATGTTTTATAAAAAAAATATCACAAAAAATGTTGCATATTTTTCAGAGGTAACCGCAACTGTGCCTCCTCTGTTTTTTATACGAGAGACATTCATTAGATGATTTAAATCTCAGCAAATTGACTAACCTGTGTTGACAGACTTTACCAACTTTTTCTTTGTACCACGATCGCACATTTCCATACATTATGCTCGCTTCTTTCTATACTATTATATAATCACGACCTATGACTATAGTTATTTTTACTACTGCTTGTACTTAGTAATGCCCGCATGGGGGAGATGAAAAATGCAGATACAAATTTGGATGGTAAGCCTTAAGACATAGGCGTTGATGTGAAAATAATATTAAAATGTATCTTACGGAAATTGGGTTGGAGGTGTAAATTTTATTCACCTGTCTCTGGATAGGGACATGTTACTGGATTTTGTGAACATGGTAATGAATCTTCTGGTTCCATAAACGACGGGGAATTTCTTGACTAGTTGATAACAAAATCAACTTTTCGGAAAGTAATCTGAAGTTAGTTATAATCTATACACTTTTGTATTGAAGACTTCATAATCTGTGCTCGTTATCGTGTAGTAGGTTGGTGGAGGAGATTGAAACTGATACTGTTGATCCACTCTCCCCTCTTCAACAACAGTCGAAAGGGGGAGGAGGTGTTCAGTTCTATATGTTGTAGGTTCACTTGGCCCACGCCCGTGAAAAGAGTGTACTCAAAACACAGCAAAGTACAATTGGAAATAAAACCATTTGCTGTCTTAAAACAAATTGTAATACATGCACATTACACGGGGTCATATATTGCCCTACTACGAACAAAGAAACTGACAAACATAATAACAAAACGAAGCCCCACGACTCGGCTCGCTCTCGGCAAACTCTCCAAGTCGCCTCGACCACCCCGAGGGACCAAGAATAACCCCAAAACACACAAATACAAACCAAGTCACCTCGAAGGGGGTGCCCAGCCGGATAGACGTTGCCGACCGGATCCGTAGCTACAGACTGAGTGAGTCCGTGTGTGGCGAGAAGAGGTCAGCCCAAATCAGTACCCCTCCTAAACCGGCCTAACCTCCCCACAAGCATGCGCACCCCTTTCGACGTTTCGCCGTCACAACATCAGGGCCGGATGTAGTCGGCTCACTGTACCACGCATGGGAGAGATGACAAAGGCATGCCGTTTTTTTGTGTATGAAAACCTGAAGAGTGATTTATGCTTAAGTGAAAGAATAATGTTAAGATTGGTCTTAAAATTTGGCTCTAAGGGTATGGGCTAGATTCGTTTGGCTCACATCCAGTGATGGGTTCTGTGAACACGGTACTCAACCGTCTGGTTTCATAAACGGCGGGGAATTGTTTGGCTGAGTGACATTTAGAGTTTCTCTAGAACTCTGCTTCATGCGGTTGGGAATCAATCACTTTAAGTATGTCTGTTCAGAATTTTGATTCTTGTTAACAAGACTTCAGAAACGCAACTTGAATGTACAACGCATTTAAAAAAATCATGCTCATAATATGCTTTAGACAAGTATTTTGCTCCTTAAACTTGCCCAAGGAGGGCCAATAGTTAGCGAATTTATTTTTGGATCCCTGACTATTAGTTTTTATTTCGTTAATGGAAGAAATAGGACACAGAAATATTGATCTTCTTGCATCTAATTACGTCCGCTTTTGAATGGATGCAGATGTTCTCAGAGTAGCACTGCTTTCATTCAAAGTGCTGTGATTACAGATGATTATTGTAAAGATGATATTTAGAAGAATATATTTTATACGTTTCACTAATAGAGGGAAAATAACACATTTGAAGTGAATAGATGTGGAGGCGTACCAAGCAAAATCCTATAGTCCATGTTATGAACCTCCATCATTAGAACAAAATTGGCGGAACAGGATGTCATTCGACGATGTTATTTTGTTCCATTCAAGCTGCCTCTTTACGGTTCAACTTCGTTTCGAATAGACGTATTACATTCCTACAGTCTAATAGTCTTTTGAGGAAACGCGGAGGACACTTAGGGGCACTTTCTTATTAGTTGTATTTATCCAATTCGAATTTATTTCTGCCTTATCTTACTTAATTGTTCTCATAGTTGGTACACTACAATTTCATTCATGTTCTCAACTTAAGTAGCTACATTGCTCTCACTGGCTTCGACATGTTCGTCTGTCCGAATCGCTTAATGGGTTTTAATTAAATTTGGTAGTAGGACAGGCTAGGCAATGCAGGATTTGAGGTTTTCACGGAGGTGCGCCCGAAGATGGCTGTCTTCTGGTTTGTTGCGCTGTGTAGTCTGGTAGAAGTTTGTCGACGTTTCAGAGGTCCTTGCTGCCGTCAGCATCAGGGCAATATATCGCAACAACCCAGAAGAGAGCCATCTTCAGGCTAGGAAATGTTTGGTAACCATGGTCATCCAGACAAGTATGGAGCGAAAGGTAACCAGAGTCATGGTAAACTTTGGTTCTGTTTGGCTGCGTTATGAAAGGCTACAGTGAGACAGAGCTGTGTTTGGTAAGGAAAAGTTGGGCTGGGCTGTGGTACGTTGGGTTACGTATTTAGAATCAAAAGTTGTCAGTGCCGAGACAGTGTCGAGCGCTTTAATGTTGTAGACAAACTCCTTCTCTAGATCGAATTTATGCAATGAGGATTCGGTGTAGTCATAAGTTTACTTATCTTCACTAACGAATCCTTTCAACGAGTTCAGAAAATACTCTTTAAACGACTTGAATGTGGCTATTCCTTCCTGGTCTAGTTCATGCAAAATTGATGTTCTTTTAATCCAAATAAAAAACACTCTCACTTCAACGCAGCGACGCATAGAAAGACGGTAAAAATAAATGGAACGCCAGGTTTAATCAAAGGAGGAATGGCAGTTTTCAATGACATGTTCTGTTTGTTAAAAAACGTAAATTCGAACTACCAACAATGTTGTACAAGCACGGAATTAATTTTTGAACAGCTAGAAAATGAAACAATTTTGAGTAAAGGGTCAATGTACGAGTTTTAGCTGTGTGATTTAGTGAAGCACTTTTTACAGTTGAACAGTTATTATTATATGATGTGGATCGAGGTTTTTTTGAAATATGAAAGCGTGTAGTCTCTTATGTGGTTATCATACACAAGACTGTACAGCGTCACATTTCTGAAAAATTCTATTTACATATTTACCGCTGTGAAATTCTCAGATCTCATGACGATAGACTATATCTGTCGGTGGACCGATAAAACAGCTGTAAAGAAATGTGATGCGTCTTTGTACTGGAAAGGCGTACATTAATTAGTGTAACTTACATTCATATAAATAATGAGTTTTCTTTTACGATTATGCATCCGAAATTGGCCCCCATGTTTTGCTTATGACAAATATGTCAGTTTTTGATAGTGATAATGAACATTAGATGTAACGTAAGTGAAGGTTCTGTAAACGTGTTTGAAAGTGGGCCGCGTGGCCAATAAATTACATGTTTGCAGGCCTGATTACTTACTCCTCGGCTCTACAGCCCGTGAAGGGCTGATCTGACTATAATACAGATTTTAAGATGTCGTCCACTATGAAAATTTGGGCTGTATTCGTGTTAAAAAGCTGTATAATTAATTAGGAAAATTACTGTTTTTCTTGAAAATTTATAGCTATGTCCAGTCTAACTTTTGCACCCGTCGTGAATCGTAATCAATTGAGAGAGACCAAATCGTGGTATATTAAAAAAGATTACATACTGGCTTGCGTGACAGGCGCCATTGCAGTTTTTGAAAGCTTTGTTAAAATTGTTTCGTAAGACATTTTTCTAAATAGAACTTTTCTTGACTTCTGAATTTTTTGCAAACTCGCGGGCTGCATTTGGCTCGCTGGTCGTGCTTTCAAGAGCCCTAGTATAAGTAATAAATTCCACGTTTTAAAAAAGCTAATTATCAGAAGAGAGTTCTGAAACAAGACATAAAATGTTATATCTTGTCAATTTTTGAACGGTGATCCGGTTATGTAAAGTAGGGATTATAATGATGTTAGACCCATGTGGACTTAGTGGAAATCGACCGACAAATTTTAAAATTTTCTATCAATAAATTAAACGAATGTAATTGAATTAACTGTTAATATGTTGAAACGTAATGTCATAATACCGAATTAACTCCATAGGCGAGTTCTTCTTGAGGAGCTAATAGGCGCTCGGCTTGTCACTTAACTTCTCAGCCCGTTTCTTTAACATTTTCAATTATCCCTACATGTACGCCCATTCTTTCAGTACCGAATTTCATCTGATCTGTTGAATAAGATTTCACATTCTCACGGATCTTGCTCTGTGTAGTCTGGGCGATCGCCCTGAATAATGGAGGCAGCAAGCACCTCTGAAACGTCGGTGAACTTCTACCGGACTACACATTGCAGCGTCCCAGAAGACAACCATTTAAATATGTTTGATATTTTGGAACCTCCTCTCCGTATGCGTTTATTTTACAAATTATTTTTGTAACGTTTGTGGTTTGTTGTATTTTCGTAATATTTGCATTAGCAGGCTTTCAACGAAATGACGCGATGGTAGGAAGCCATAAAAACAGTAAATAATTCCATGAAATGTAAAGGATGCGTGCGGTGCGTTAAAAATGTATCGTAATGTAAATTTCAACTTCAGTGTTTTTCAGGCATTTAAACGTTAAATGAGATTTTGGTACAGTGACGTCATCGAAATGCATTGTTGTGGTATTCTTTCTTGCGGTTTCAATTCTAATCTTGTACTATCGATATACTGTACAGGTGTAATTGTAATGATTGATCGATCCGTGTGTTTTGCACCTTTTATATATATTGCTTTTGAAATGTCATTGCTCGTGGGTGCTTAAAAGTATTGTGATGCTAAAGTGCATCTCAGAAATGATAGATTAATCCTTAGTTGCAAAAGGACACCGCTAACAGCGGAGTTTGTAAGGCGCCAGATGAGATAGGTGGTCGAGACCGGGGAATCTGTAAAGATTTTGATGCAGGCGATAGTGAACTATGTTCAAGCCTGCCAGAATATTTGGTCTTCTAGTCGTATTTCGAACCCGAGACCTTTTCAATACAAAACACTGTAATGTGTGTGTGTACCGCTCGTTAACTTTGCAGCAATAATTTTGTATCTGAAGCAAGTTGCCATCATTCTGAACGAGGTATTAGAAATGCAGAACTCGAATGTGTGATATTATGTATGCAGACATGAATAAACTTTTTCACTTGTTACTGAAAGACAGATTTGTTGAACCGGAACAAGAACTGATGTGTTACTGGAGAATTGGAGTGGCGGGTGTCACGATTTTGATAATGCTGCCTCTGTTATCTCACCCTGTTTGGCAAGGGACACGTTCCTCACTCTTCCGTCCCGGAAGTACATAGTATCACAACTTTCCACCCCTACCCCCGGCCAAGAACTTCCGGGAAGCGGCACTTAACACATTCTAACAGGGTATTTTAAATTTGCGTCTGTGTGTATTGCATTGGAAATGGCGATTATAATGGCTAGATACACAGAACTCGTCCCTTATTACAAGGAGTTAATTAGAGGAAAACGTGCAGGAACTATTAACTACATTGTCGGAGATAGGACGTCCTGATTTCCTTTGCTGCTTCGGCCCTCGTATCAATTGAGGAATGAGGGAGACTTGCAGGCGGACTTCTAACAAATGAATTCTTCTTTCTGTAATTGCACGCAGCAAGTGGCGGGAACTTCCTGCTACTTTTTCACGTTACAAGTATTGGTTCATGATTAAGAACAACTGTAACATCCGTGCTTGCCTCCTGCCTACATTATTTGCTGAAGCATCAGTCGTGTGCGTTAGGTAGATCTAGTCGAGGGATTATCAATTTTTTAAGGTCTGAGGTCACAGTCACCTTTTTCTTATCGGCTTGCGGTCCGGCCATTTTTAAACTTTGTGGCTGTTTATTAAAAACGAAACTTCATACGCACCAGACCCATTGATGTCTGTAATGTATCTCGCAAATGCAAGTAAAGCAGTGGTTTTCTTCACCATGCATAGCGAAACCCTAACTGATTGTAATATGTTTTTCCCCAACTCTTATTCGATATTACAACTCTGTCCTCGATTCATTTCGATACTACAGAATTTTAAAGTGCTACTTCTTTTGATAGCCTTTAAGTAATTGTCACCAATCACATGCAAAAGCATGGTGAGATTTCGATAGTTATACGTATTGACTTCACCGAAGCTAACAATGTTCATAGTTCACTTTACACGATGTTTCGTCACATTTATAATTTAAACTTTAATGACTGGTGTCAGATTAGTTGAGAATTCTGAAAGTCATCACATTTACGTTTATAAAGCCTGTAGATTTGTCCGTGAAATCTACGTAATTTGTATAAATGCCTTTGTAATTCAGCGGAAACCGTGCAACTGTTCCCAGAGTTTGGTAGCATATGTAGGTGTTGAGGTTCTCATGCGGCAAGTAACATAATACACCTTTGGAATCAGGTGCCCTGGAATTACCATCACGCGTCAATCTGTACGTATTGAAGGGAGCTGTCATGTCATGATATGATATTTACTTTTCCTTTGTGATATGTCTCTGATATCTGAATTACTTACGTGAGTAGTGCATCTAAGTCAGTATAGCGACTGCTACGGGCTGGATGATCGAGGTTCGATCTCCGACGGGGGCAGAGGATTTTTCCTCTAGCCTCTGCGTCCAGACCGGCTCTGGAACCCACCCAGCCTTCTCTCCGGGGTCTTTTTCTGGGCGCTGACCACTCACCCCTATCTAGTGCCGAGGTTAAGAATGAGTAGGTGCCAATATTGGCAGGTAACGGGATGGCTTTACTTTGCTTTTACGTGTTTTCGTTTTGACACATGTAGTGTGATTATGAAGATTTATGAACTAGCCTACTGTGTTAGGTTAACTGTGGTTGAGTCCCGATTATCCGACACAAACGGGGCCAAAGGACGGTCGGATAATTGAAAATGCCGGATAGTACAGAAGTCTAATACAAAAAGAGCCACTTTAAATATCAACTCAGTGTATAAGTCATTTTGCAATATTACTAAACTACGAAGGAAGTGGAAGAATGTGAAATTCTCAGAAATAAAAATAGTGTTTGACAACGTGAATTTGTGAATGAATGTTTTTTTAAGTACACTTGTCAGAAAGATGTCCTTTCACTTTGACTGTTGAAAGACAATTGACGGTCTGGCGCGAGCAGGTTAAATGACAAGCTGTGTGGATTCTTGTTTAGTCACAGCGATATTGTGTTTATTTATGCAGTCGAATTGTATTGAATTGCGACAATCAGTAAATATTTTAATATGAGTTGTGTGACTTTTTAACCATACTGTATCATAACTGGCACAACGTTCTGTCACTGTGGCAGTAACCTGTTGTGGTTCCGTTCTGATCTCCGGCTACTACTTGCCTCTTTTTTCCTCTGGGTAGAGTGAAATTGGGTTGGATGGAAATGGAATGGCGCAGGTCCGGGGTTTGATAGCTTGAGGTGATGGTGGGGGTGCCTCCTGCTAGAAGCTTTCTCTTAGGTTCAGGGTCAGCTGCGGTTGAAGGTGTTCAGACGACTGGCGTGTTACTGCAAACGACGGGTGTCGGAGCGAGTTACGGCAGAGATGACTATGAGATTCCCTCACCCCTCCGTTTCGATAAGAACGCTGTGATTATATAAGGTTTGTGGAACCTTTGATTTCACATGAAACAGCGCACTTGTATCACCACTGAACACTTGATTTAGAATATTTGCGCTGATGATAAATTAAGTCGTGGACACAATTATTTTAGATTAGGTTAGAATGTAGCTTGAAACTAGGCCATTAAAAGTTGTTTCTCATGTTCGCCATTAACACAGAATCTTATCTACGCTGATGAATTGTTACTAATTTCTAAGTCTGATATGTGTTTATCAAACTGGAAAATGTGTTTTACGAAATGTACACGACTGGTGGAAGTCTGTGAGTAATTTGTGAGCTGTGTTCTATTAACAGAATTCTGATTTGTGAATTTTATTTACAGGATTCTGTGACAAATTTGTGAACAGAACTCTGACTTCTGAATTTTGTAAACATGACTATGTCTGACGATATACTAAGCTGTACTCTGCCAGTCATTTGACTACAATAAATGCCCTCTTAATTGAGCAATATCGCCACATGTCCTTAACGTCTCCACATCTCTGTTATCTGTTGGTTAACTTCGCTTTGATATTTTAGATCGGCCTGACCGGGATTACCTCCGGGAACAGTAGGTTATTTCAATCCCGAATATTTCGTCTGGTGTGAACCGTAACATTAGGGCTTAGCTTGGTCGGTATGAGGTTTTGAAATTCTGTCTGTTTGTTTGTTTGTTTGTTTGTTAGTTAGTTAGTTATTCACTGTCTGGCGTCATCTGTACTCTCAAACCCACGATCAATGTTCCGCCCATAAAAACAATCTGTTGTATAATAATTGGGTTGGTGCCAGTTCGTCGGGGTTGCGCTGCTTTCCACTGAGGACTAGCATTGGCACCTACGAGGTTCGAACCCGTAGGTTTTATACGATAGGGGGCTAGATTCGAAAAGGAGTTATCATCATTGGGAATCAGTATATGAAGAAATGGGACATTTTATTCAAAGCGAGAACCTTGTCGATGCGCAGACCAGCTCGTTAGAACCATATCTATTTTCTGTAATTTGAAACGGTAAATTTGGGCCTGTTATACGTCTCCAAGTTTGCTGAGTCAGTAACTAATTTTTGTGTCAAAATATCAGCAGATTTTGTACAATCCAGTTTACTCAGCTAGTCATAGGCTGTTTATTATGTAATTGTTTAAGTTCTCTTGAATCTACAACCTTACAGGAATATTCTGAACTAATTTGAGTATCGTTTATGCCTCCTTTTAATTTCGAGATTTTTCTAAGCAAAATTGCACTGTATATTATTACTTAAAATTTTACTGTTTTTCCCCCATCGTTTTTGGAGTTTTGTAAAGTGTGCGCTTTAAGTAAGTGTTAACCTCTGGATTCAAGAAATAATTATGCTTACGATGTCTGTGAAGAAGTTCTAGAGTACCGAACGTTTTCACTGATATGTTGAGCATGATAATTTCTTTGGCGTATTGTTGCTTTGTAGTTGCAATGTGTAAAATGAACCACAAACAGGCTGTATGCTTATCTATACTTTAATTAGTGAAATAATGTTTTCAGGTTCTCCCGGAATAGAAATCAGGGGCGAATGCTCCGGTCTGCCTAATAGTGCGCCGACAAACCACTAAGATTGGAGGGGTATAAATGTTTTACTGTGTAACACAACAGCGGCATATTATTATTATAATTATTAAATCTATTCACCACTTCATAGGGTATTTACTTCTACGTGTCCGAGACAAACCTTGCCCTTGAGGTACATAGTGCAGCAGCTATTTCCGAAATACATTTTGTTTGTAATATGTGTTACATGTATTATATAGTTTTATTGTGAGGGATGACTATATATTTTACGACAGCGTCTTTCGAATGATGTATGAAGATCCTATAATAGCAGTTTTCTGAAGTTCCCCGATGTCGTGTTCGCCCGGAATGTTGGCCAAATATTTTATGAGTGACTTGGAGACAGTTCCAGTTGCTCCTGTAATTATTGGGATTACTTTTGCTTTCACTTTCCACATTCGCTGTATTTCAAGGAGAAGGTCCTTGTATTTCAAAATCTTCTTCGCTTCCTTATTATTATTATTATTATTATTAAAATGCCTTAGTATTGTGTTGCGTTTGTTGGAGAGGGCGCTTTAACAATATTGCCGTACCGCGCGTCCTGGCTACTAGATCATGATTCGCCACTGATAGAAACAATGTTTCTGTGTAGATGTGCTTGAGCTAATTCAGCATTTAAGATAACTAACCTCTAAACCTTACTCTTTCAAGTATATCAGTGGCTCCCTAACTTTCAAGACTTGAGGGCATACTCACCTTCTCTTACCGAATCGCGTGCCGTCAATTTATAACGGAGAGCACTTTATTTAAATTTTATGGCAGTTTATAAAAAATGCTGGGAAAATAGGCTCGCGTACTACTCAGATTTCGGTAAGGAGAACAATTTATGCACGAATCGTCTTAATTCAGTGCTCTCTCTCTCTCTCTCTCGTGCAACAGATGTCTTAGTTCAGCCTGTGGTAACGTAATTGGCGGAACGTTCACGAAGGTCGCTAAACGTGCGCCGTATTTAAAATAATTTGTGTCGTATTTCACTTCGTGTCCTTTTAACGCACAGTTTGTGCGAATGTATTGTTTAGTGTAGCTATAACATAGGCCACTGTTTTTTCTGAAATAAATTCTTGCACCATTTCCTTTGTCTTGGCTTTAAAAAACAGCACAACGTTTCGGCAGCTGGCTATGTTTCCATCATCAGGTAAACAACCTAAAGAAGATAATCTTAATGCTCGGATTTGCCTTTTCCATAGCCAGCCGAGTGCCTATTAGTTTCTAAAGGAGGACTCTACCCCTTTAGTTAGTCCTTAAGCCTTAGCAGTTTTGTTTGGACCTGTTTCTTTTAATCATGGGATTTAATTAACCTAAGCTTCAGATACGTATAAATGCATCACAGAAGATAAAGTTCAGAAGTGACGTTTCTGAGTTGTAATTGTCATACATCTGATTAGAAACTTTACCGGGATATCGACTTAAGGAGGCAAATAATTTTTTTAAGTTATTCCATTTGAATACCGGTACGTCAGTTCCTACCATGTTTTCTAGTTTGCTCACAGTGGTAGTCATAGTTCATTCGATACTTACAACAGTTTCATCACTTATAGGTAGCTTAGAATACGCTTAAATAGAGCAGAATGGAGATATAATTCTTGTGAAGTATTGACTTTAGCGTGGAAGGTCTTACAAGCTTATCTAATCAGAAAACTCAAAGATAAGAGCATCGGAGTCAGTGGGGGATACTCACAACATTTTTCCATTAGAAAGCGAATGTACATTGTCGGTTAGTTCTTTGAAGCTCACTTGTCTCTGATGTTTTTTGCACTTTGAGAACGTTGAAAACATTTTAATCAATAAAACATCTGCTCAAACTTAACATTATGATTGAAAAACTAAGGACTGTTATTCGCATTTGTCTGTCTTTGCTGCTTGATGGCTGTACTGAACGTCGTAGTGTAGTGGGTAGCTCTTCTGCTTGATATTCGGGAGGTCTGGTTTCAAATGTCCTCCCGGAGACCGGGTATCCTGACTGGATTTTCGAAGTCCCCCAGGTAAATGTCAGGATAATACCTTCAATTATGCCACGAACGCTTCCTTCCACATCCTTTCCAATTCATTACTCACCGTCATAAATTACGTATTTCGCATTTTCAGAACAACCGTTCTGATGTGCTTTTCCAACTCTGGATAGTTTCTCAGAAAATGGACGCTCGTTCCATGTCGGTTTAGAATGTGTTTCAGTGTTTCAAGTTGAAATGTGCTTTTACCGCCTTTTTCCAGATGTTTTCCATCCCACCGCTCATAATCTTTTCTCCGTTTGCTGCAAGTTACGTAATATGTTCAGCTGAGATTTGTTGATAATAACTCAAGAAACTTCTCTTTAGGTGTATTAATTTCATTAAAGGCGGTTGCCGATGTGAGAAAAGTAACAGGAAATTTAAAATAAGCAAAGAATAAAAACAGAAGTACAGGATGGAAATAAGGAATACAGTGTATGTAGGAAGAAGGGACGAAATAGAAATAAGGAAATAAATACAATAAGATGAATTTCTAGAGAAAAAAGAATGCAAAAGAGAAAGAAGAATTAAAATAGACATAGAAACAATGAGAAAAATGAATAAGAATGAAGATTAAGTTAATGAAGAGAAAGCCATAAAGAAATAAATAAGACATAAAATAAACAAGCAAGGAGTTAAAGAGAGGACAAGAAAGAAGGAAATAATAAAGATATAATGAATAAAAAAAGAAAACAGTAGAAATCAAGAAACGAGAAATAAAAAATCAAGAGGTTGTTTAAAGGGAAGATAAATGAGGAGCGGTCCAAGGAACAAGTATTGAAATAAAGGATAAAGACGGAACTGAATGAAATAAATATAGAGATAAATAATTTTGCCATGACTGTCGTGTCTGTGCCGGGTCATTACGTGCACGCGTGTCCGCCCTGTACGCGGCTGCATTCCGAGGTCTGTCGCAAACGATCACATCGCGTCTTCATTTTACAGCTAAATACGTTCAGCCGTATTTTTGTTTTCATTGTGTAGACCATAGCCATTTTTAATGTATCGTAACACGTTGTTTTTTTGCGGTGAGGAGTTGTTGGCTCCAGGCCCAACCCGCAGCTTCGAGGATCACCCCTTGTTACTGAAGCGCGGCTTCTTGGTGAGTATATTAGCGGGTAAGCTGCATGCCTTCTCCAGCCGCAAACCGAGGACGCGTCGTGTCCTGGTGACAAGAAAGACGCTTCAGCACAGCTGCCTAAGGATTACTTCCTATGGACCGACCAGTCATGAGTGGATGATGCAACAGTTTCAACGATGTCGAGAGGTTTTTCGTACATGATGCGATTGTGTTTCAAGAAAAATGCCAAGTTTTCTCCGTAATCATAAAGCGCTTCCAGGAATCTGCCTGTACTTTGGTGTTTAGCAGCACAGCAGTATTACATCTGTTACTTTTGAAACAGGATTTGTCATCTTTTTTCAACCTGTTACATTAACATTGGTCTCCACGAGTTTATGTCTTGTTTCTCGGGCTGTACTTCTTTTGTTCTTTGCAGCTCGTTTGTTTGTGTTGTAATAGCACCTATGTTCGTGTTGGAGAAAGAGCTTGAGCCAGGAACAAAAACTTCTCCATTAGACAGTGCATGCGTTTATTCAAGATGTTTAAACTTCAAAGAGATATCTTATTTAAAACTGATCTTTTCTGGCATAAATGTCTGCGCTTTGTTATTTATCAGTGTAAATGAATGCGTCCTATGCTTTCATAATTAATTCTTAACGCTTTTAAATTTGAATAGAAAATTTCGTTTTATCGTAAACTGTTATGAGGATTATTGTCACTTGTACACAGTCGCGTCATCGGACGAAACAGATTTGTGCACTAATGACAAAAATTAAGCACTGGAATGTTTTTATTCGGAAACCAGAAGTGATGCGTGTGGAAGCTTGCAGCTGGCGTCATAATCAAATAATTCATAATCTACTTTTATGACTTTCTGTACTTCCCATTACAGTTATTTATGTCAGATGTCTGTTGAGCTAAGACACCAATATGTCTGATACTGACTTCTTGTCTTGTAGGAAGCCGTTAGCCTTTGTCGGCATTTCACTTCAAGAGTTTGTTGTACTCCTCATCTTCGTAGTTTGAAGGACCCCCGTTTGATTGCTACTGTGAGCTAGGCTTCCTGCGATTAGGCCTTGTTTTAATGCGTTTTTTGCATAATGGGTAGTTTATATCTGTCCATGGGCTTCATCTCTGAAAGTTCTTGATGGACTTCGGTGACATTTTGTATTTGGGAATGTGCAGTGAAAGCTGTTGAAATAACTCATTGTTAGTAGTACTGGTTCATCGCGACGGACGAAGGGCAGCTAACATTTCTTCATGGCCCACGTAAGAAGTTTCACGATTAAAGCCGATGCGTTCATTAGCCTACATTTCTAAACGAGGCGGAGAGACATGTAGAAGCCTTCATTCTGTTTAACCTACAGCTCTGTGTTGGCCGAAGAAGTGAGTTTCTACGACTTGTGGAAAGGACCTGGAAGTAACCGGCCGTGGCTTAGCATTTGCTTGGAGGTACTGAGGAATTCATCGTAAAACTTCTGACAGGATAGCTGGAATTCTAAGCGGGATTCAAACTCCGTCATTTACGGAGATGAACACGATTCTTTCACATTTTATCGCTATTGGGTTTAAAGACCAGTGAGATGTACAGAATCGCAAACAGTTAATTTGAACTGTGTGTATTGTTTTGGGGCATGACGTCCCACCCTAGTTTCCTTCACATGACGGATTATGATGGGATCGTGCAACAGGTCGGCCATACAACACAGAAGAATGTGTGACCTATTAAATATTCTACTGAGGTCCGTACATCACTGCAACATACCCGTTAGAGACCGAAACGCGATTTGGTTTCTCCGGCGAGCCTACGGCGACGTCTATAATAGGTTATAGCGCATAACTGCCTCATTTAAAGGATGCTGCATAATGAATATTTATGGTCTGTATATAAAATCACTTTTTATAATAGAACATTTTGCTTTGCTGTATCAGATTTGCCTTTGGCGGCAGTCTTGTTATTTAAATATGTATGTTGGCATACCTCACTGATTAACTCCGTTTGAATTCTCTCATAATAATCGCGATTACTTCAGGATGCGGTGGAACATATTTGGCACAAAAGTGAATGGTTGCTGGCAATGCAAGCACAAACCTTAACCAGCACGTGCTAGTTGTAAAGCGTAGACGTAATCATTCCATATCCGATGGCGTACAAGAAAGGACTGGGTTATATCTGCTTGTATGGTATCACTTTGCGCCTTACCTCACCACCCCCGCCCTCCGTCACATCCACCCTTTCTCCCTCTCCCAAGTGTTATTTGTGGTATAACGGTCATCCTCGCTCGGAGTTGTTCGTCCACTATAATCACCTATTACTCTGAGCGAGATTAGCCAAGTGCGTGAACAGAGATGAAGCTCCTACCTTAAGACGGAGGGGAGTGACGTGCTACTTGGTCAGAGTTGTGGCACGCCCTAGGATAGATGAGTGTCAAGCAATGGTGGAATGATAATCGCGGATAAACGATGA